CCCGCTACTCCGTGCCGACCATGGACCCGCAGGCCCGAGATCCCCATTTCCTGGAGACACTACAGGTCCCGAGCCCAACGACCATTCACCATCACCTCTCGCCCACTCATCCGCCTACCGAACTCGCTCTTCATCATGGACATCCGATGCTCGATATGGGCGGCCCGTCGTCTCGTCTTCAGTCAGCTGTCGGCCCCTCTGCCTCCGATTATTCTATGCATTTGTCTCAGGCGAGGCTTCCAGAGCAGCAACTGAGAATGTCTAGTGATACGCTACCCTCGTTGCCTTCCAGACACTCTGTCGGGATGCCTTCTTCGCAGTCGAAACCCCAGATTTCCTTGCCGTCTGCTTCTGGCCCAGCGAGGAATACTCCGTCGGAAAGCCCCTCGAGTCAGAGTCGTCCTCCGAGACGAGAGGCCTCTACCGTTGTGATAGCTTGCCGGCAGTGGTGAGCAGCCTTTCCGCTTTGCGCCTCATTAAAGAACGAGCCCTGAATCTGTTGACATCTCAGCCGCGCCCGGAAGATACGTTGCGACTCGACTCGGCCTTTTTGCCACAACTGTCTGCGGCGGAACAACGAATGCGTGTACGACGCCGTTCCGAAGCGACGTGGGCCCGACAAACGCCCCGGTACCAGACAACGCTCGTGCAAGAAGCGACCTGCGGACGCAGAACCTGCCTCTGCTTCAGCCAAGAAGAAGCGAAAGACCACTGCAGAGGGTGAGAGTGGTATGCTCTCGTTCGATGTCAAAGTGAAGGAGAACGTAACAGGCGGCGCCAGGAGTGCCCATTTCCCGTCGCGAGGTGCAATGGATGACCTGAACGCAACGCATATGCCGCCACACGGGGCGTTGTACATCAACACCTCGATACCTCCTCGCGGCACAGGCTCCGATGTAATATACCCAAAAGTGAGTCTCCTCGTCGATCCTGCGTGAGGAATGGTGTTCGACGCCAAGTATTTATTCAGTCGACGGTAGGATGAGCTCTCCCCATCGTTCCGACGCTCGTCAGTAATCATGAACTTCCCCGACTCCGACACATCTTTCGCTCGCCCCATCGACGTTAATGTCTCTCGACTGCAGCCCGACGCACACGACAACCCTCCATTCGTTTCAAACTCTCCTCCTTCAAACTATGGTCCCGCCTCATGGTGGGACGAACTCCTTGACCAGTACAGTCCGAGCGGTCCAGAACAATCGTAGGCTGTTGTCTCACCTTCTGCGCTCACGCTATCTTACTTCCATACAACAGCTTTCAAGATATTATATCCGATATAACTTTCTTGTACGTGTCGGCAGAAGAAAACGTTGAGTCGGTAGGCTGATATCACTGCTGCGACTCCACCAGATTCTCGACGAACAGCTACTGGCTTTCATTCGTCTGTCTACCTATACTCATCCGCGACCTCCGCGATCCCACCCAACGCGGTCGCCTACAGCCGTTCATAATGTCCGCTCTCGCGATGGCCATGCTGATGAAGTCAAGCGAGCTGGAGTGTGGCCGCAATGGGCGCGATCTAGCCCTTTCGTTCCACGATCGTGCCAAGGCTTCCTTAGAGTCAGCTTGCCGCAACCAAACCTTCGACTATACCCATGCGGAAGCTGCTCTTGTGGGTTCCCGCTTCCTCATTGGGGCTAGCGACGTTCTGGCTTACTGGTGCTACAGATGCAAGCTTTGTTCGAGACGTCGGCCCACCCTCTCTATTCTCCCCAAAGAGCCACCAACGCTTTGGAGTTGCTTGACAAGATCATCCATATCCTCTCCCTCACTTCCATGGACCGCGACGACCCTTCTGCGAGCTACTTTCACCAGCGGTCGGCACCCATCGTAGACGTCGTCGACGGGTACCAACGTCCGACACAATGCGCATGCGCCGGCTACCTGTTTGCTCCGACCTCGTCCGCTGAGCCCAAGTACCTTTCTCAATCCTACTCGCCGCCCTGGGACCCGCAGGCGACTGAGGAGGATATCCGCAAGGAAGAATGCCGCAGACTGTGCTGGTGTGCGCTCACGCTCGTATCTGCGTATACTGCGCAATGCTCCGCCTTCCATACCGAGCCACTAGAACTCACACTCGCGGACCCTGCCAATGTACGTCTGATCGTCCCTCCCACAAGTCCACCATGCTCATGCACGCGCGCTCTGTTATCTGATAGTACGTACTGCTCTTCCCCGGCGAAGCATACGAGCGCGTGACGAACCACCAGCAGGCGTCCGGTCAGTCTCCGAAGGAGTCCGTGTGGGCGCTGTACTGCCGCAGCATGCTTCTGTGGAACAGCAGCAGCAGCATCCAACGCGACGACACTCTCAGCGCGGAGGACCGCGCGCGGTTCGCCATCGACGTGTTCCACGAGACGCGGGACATCCAAGACGCGTTGGACATGCACAAGTGCAACATGGACACCGGCCTGGCGTACATATGCCGGGAGTACCTGTACGAGTGCGTGTGTTCCCGTCTTTACCACACTTCCGGGATGTGCCTCGTTGACGTATTCCGCGGTGCCCTGTCACTTATGCAGCACGCGTATGACCATTACGTATGAACTCCGCCGGTAAGTCCTCCGCATCCGTGCATTCCTTCTCAACCCTGAACGACTTTAGTAGATTGCAGGACGGTGACGTACCCGCCCTTCCGCCCATGTTCAACCGCCGCCAGGCCGAGGAGTGGTGTACGTTCCCAGCCCACGTCATCGCGCGTCGCGCACTCACGCGCGCCGTCCGTTCCCACCGCAGTGTTCTACCAACAGCAGGTTGCGAGGCGTGCATGCCAGTCCATTAACCAGCTCAGAGAGCCCGAGGGGTTTCTGTTCGCCCGTCGCCCCTTCCAGGTGACCTGGTTCGCGAACCAGGTCGCCATCGCCCTTGGTCTGTGGGAGTACGATCATGGTCTCATGAACGCGCTCCGCCTCGCGAGACAATTCCTGGTCCCGCTGGATGTCCTCAACGCGATCTGGCCGTGCCCAGGTGAGTCTCGCTGCGACCTCGCCCCGCACCGTCCGCGCGTTTGCTCACACGAAGCTCCCGACCTTCTCGTAGCGCAGGCGTTACAACGGGACGAACTCCGTCGCAGGCTGCACAACGCGTGTGTGGCTGCGGGCCAACCTCCGCCGTCTCCCGTGCAGATGCATCTGCCAGCCATGCTCCAGACGCGCGCGACCCAATGAACCGCATGCCGCACGCTGCACACACCACTATCGCCTCGAACTACGCACGCCATCGCGAAGCCCAGATACCATTCTTGCCATTCCGTTGTACATTTACTATCGCGCTGCTGATCCCGTCCTTCCTTCACATCTCTATCTCCGTCGCCCTCGCTATGCCGCTGCCGTAACCGCGTTCTTTATACCACAGATCCGTTGTAGCCTATCCGTTCGTATATCATCCCCCTCACGTCCACTGTCATTCACGCGCTCAGGACCGTTTCACCCATTTACCCCCTCTCTGTCCCAGTATACCATTTCCCGGATTCTGATCGCTCTCACTCTCTATGTATGCCTATCCCTCGATATCCCTCTCCGACACTCTCGGTGCCATATACCTCGGAACGCCCTTTAATGTGATGACCCACGGCCAATGCCATTCTATTCGCTGCCCTGTGCCGATCGCCCGAGCCGTACAAGTTTACAACAACAACGCCGTTCCCCTGATAGGCACGCGTCCTAAAGAATCACTAGGGCACGGCCGCAAGGGGCAGCACGGGCGCCCCTGTGGGCTGCTTCGCGCGCAGAACTTGATCACGAAGAACCATGGCCTGCACGTCCCGCTTCCACGCGGCGAGCTCTCCGCCCCACCCGCCGATGCGTCTGCGCTTCCCGCCGGCGAGTACGCCATCGACGCGGTGCGGCTCCGCGTACCGCTTGCGCACGACCCAATGGTTGCTGAGGCACCTGCGCGCACACAGAGATTAATGGGCGTCAGTCTCTGTCCTCTGGTAGCTCCGGGACGGGGTGTTTGTTCGAAGCAACTTCTGAACAATAGAGCACTTCCCGGACTCGGAGCCGCGGGCGCGCTGCGGCGCGGAGATGAAGCGGGCGTGCGCAGCGCGTGGTCGAGGGAAGCGGAAGCAGGGGATGGTGTATCATGGACAAATCATATATCACGTACCACCAGATGATGCTGTCGCGCGAGAAGATCCTCTCCAGGCTCTCCTCGCACCCCGGGCTGCACGGAGGCCTGAGCCGGAGCAGGCGGAGGGCGGTCCGCCAGCACAGCCGCGGGAAGTAGAGCAGCAGCGGCGGGTCCAACCCTGCACATTATTGCGGCCCCGGCGCGGTCAGCTGGAAGCTCAGGGTGGCGCGCTGTGGGAGCTGGGTAAGGCTCACAGATGATGTCCGTCGCCGAGTCGAGGATCATGTCCCCGAGCTTGTTGGTGTAGTTGCCATCGACGATCCAGCCGCGAGGGTGGCTGTCTAGTGCGGCACGGACTTTGGCGCAGAACTCGTCCCGTGGACGTTCTTTCCACCCCGCCCCGAAGAAGAGGACGTCGAGCGCGATGTACGGCAAATTCAAGATGGCGGCAAGCTCTCGGCCGAGCGTGGACTAGAAGAACTTCGAGCAAGATCCCTAGAAATGCTACTGGGAGCCGCGTACCTTTCCAGATCCTGTGCAGAGGTGTGAACGACTGCATATGTGCTGGTGACTGTGCAAACGTTATGACACGTACCGCTGTTCCCTACGATTTGCACGCGGAAATTCCCTGCGGCATCCCCAAGCAAGGGAGGTGGCGCTGCAGCAGCTGGTTCAGTAGTTGGTCTCGAAAAGACGATGGACAGAATACATTGGGTTGGCGACGACATTCTCTCCGTCTCAGGCAGCCTGCAATGATGACGGTGGGTTCCACAAAACAGCCAGAGCCATCAACAACCTGCGAGTGTATATATCCTAGGCGGCGGTGCTGGTCGGAGTCAACTGGGCCTTGGCACCGGGACCGAGACTGGATCCGACAGCCCTGTGGTCGATGTGAGTCTGGCAAACTTTTGTTCTCGCGTTTGAGCATTGTCGAGATAGCTCAGTTGGAAAAGCGCCAGGTTGAGAGGTTTCCCACCGACTATAGAGGTCTGGCGGAGGAGTGTTCGAGTCGCTCTCTTGGCATTTCTGCCACACTGCTTCATGCTCGTTCCCCTTGCTGTCTACTTGCTCTGAACGCATTTGCCGAATATGTACGAGGTTGAAAGCACGCTGGGACATCGCAAGAGTCTACGCAAAAGCGGATTGAACATTTTGTACACGGAATATGATGGTAAAGTAACTTAGTGAGGACTACTGTTAGTACGAGGCCGGGGTCAGGACTATCTACGGTGGTGATGGTAGCAAGTATACATACGCGTACATTAGGCTGATTTTGATTGCTACTAGAGAGAAGGACACTAGGGATTATATGGTAGACGGGTACCGTAACGAAAGGGCCCCGACCTAGGCAGGGCCCGCCGTGATTAGTGTAATCTGAGGTAGGGGAAGAAGGGCGAGCACAGAGGCATAACAAGATAGGAGCAGTGAGCAGAGCGTGCATGTGCCAAAGGGTGTAGCCCTCAGCTCGATACGCCGCCGGGGCGGAGCTGTGCTCAAAGGTTGTATTGCTCGATGTATCGCATAACGATTAGCGACGCGAGCAGTTCTGTATGACGCGTCAGAAAATGCGTCCGCAATTTCTCACAAGGGGATAGACGTACCGCCGACGAGGTGAGGGTAGGCCTCCTCCACGGTGAGCATACAGCCCGATGAGCCGGCGTACTGCGGCTCTCCAGCAGGCTTCATGCTGTAGGTCGCGATGTGGTAACCGCTCCTAGCATTTACACACTGTACAAAGAGAACGTACAACCAAGTTAGCGGTGACGTCGACTCAAAACACGCGTGAGGGCTCACCTGCCACTCGCCGTTGGCTTGCAGGGTCCAGCGATAATCCTGACCGTCGGATGCCCGGAACTTGCGCGCCCTCGCACTGTGACGCGTGTGCAGACGCGTCAGTCAAAATTTCTTGCATACTCAAATCACGGACACGCACCTTCCAGTCTTGGCCAGGTACTCGCCCATCGGGACGTGCGCGCCCTCGCCGATCTTAATTGTACCGAGAGCGTGGCTTGCGGGAAAGTCGAGTGTGGCGAGTGGCACGAGGTAGCCGCCGCGGCCGGCGCCGGACGCGCGCGAGAGGTCGTATATTACATAGGCAGAATGGGTCGCGTCATGAAGGGTTTGCTTGAGGCTGAGGTGCATGCGGTTGTGGAGATCGACGAACTCGGAGCCGGTGACGCGGCCGGTTTTGTCTTCGAGGAAGAAGGGCATGCCGAAGGTGGTCATGGTGGCAGACGTGCGTGAGTGTGGGTGAGGGTTATGCGGAGAAGGGCGGCGGGGCCGGAGGGTCGAGGAAGCAGTAGATGTCAGAAAGGAGTGCGGCAGGTGCGGGACACAGGGGTCGCGTGCGGATATTAGAACGAAGCTAGTAGGATGGGGACAGCGAGCGGCAGGGGGGAGACAGGGGAGGCGTCGTGCGAGGAAAAATTAGGGGTGGAGGTAGGAGGGCGTGAGGGGGCGGTGGGGAATATATAACGGAGGACGAGGAGAAGGCGAAGGTGAGCAGCTCGCCGTGTCGGAGGACGTTGTCTGAATTGGCGCGGCTGCTGCACCCGGCCGGGCTAGTCTATATATGGTGAACGCCCCCTCCGCCCCTTGCGCGCACACAACCTCGAGCCTCGAGCTCCGCCAATTTCCCATCGCCCGCCCTCGATCCCTGCCCGCCGATAGCGATGACAACCACCGCAATATCTCATCCTCTCGCCCGCTCCTCCTTTTTTTAACCCATCACATACATGTCCAAGCACTATACGCTAGTCCAGATCACCCCCACATACGAGGACGCTCGGTGCCTTGGTTTAGCACATCGAGGGCGCTGACCGCCGCTGAGCTGGCGTCACCGCCGACCTCGAGAACACGAAACAAGGCGAAACAGCTGCAATCGCCGCATCGCAGCCGCATGTCACCGTCTCTCCGTCGGCCCGACTGCGTATCCTCGATGCCGCCCGCCAGGGTCGGGCACGGACACGGACTGCCATGACGATCTGCGCCGTTGCATTCCGCCTTGCCCTCCTGAAACACGACGGACCATGCGCTGCCCCTCTCTCTCTGTATATTTACGCCGCCGTACGCCCGCGCACACAAGTGTGTCGCCCGCGCGCCGTCACGTCATTCATCCCCCCGCGCAGCGCGTCGACCATATGCATGCAGCGCGTCCCTGCGCGTCCTCCAGCGCAGCCTCTCCACGGAAGGCGGCCATAGTGCGTAGTGCGTGCTTCAAGTTCCTGCTTGTTTGACCCTGACAGCGGCTTCGCGCCGTGTCACCATCACATCCTGCCGCTTCATGTGCCCCCACTCGCGGTGCGTGATTGTGCGGGGCGCGAGGTGCATCCTGCAGCGCAGGTCGGAGCCCATGCTCCTTGGCGAAAATAACCGAGTCGTTTCGTAGAGGCAGATCGTCGCGGAGTTGACCTCCATCAATGATCACTCTCCAGTCCCAGCCCCGATTCGGACCTCCTCGACCACTTGATGTATCCTTTCAAGGCCACAAACCGAGACGCGGTCGCGCCGTCCACAGCTCCTTCTGGCATGGGGCGGGGCCTCTACGTGCCGTCGGCGGTTGCGCACAGTGTTGCTGCGTAGCTGTTGGCCCCGGCCTTCACACTGCTCGCGGTCACCGCACGGCAGCCGACCCTGCTCAGGCACACCGCGTCGTGTAGCTCGGCTGTAAGGAGGACTGAGTCAAGCGCGCTGTGCGCAGCGACGGGCCCGCGCTAGCTGGATGGGCAGCGGGGGTGCTAAATTTGTGAGGCGAGCGCCGTGGCCGTCGAGACTCTCAGACGGTCACTCTGCGCTGATCGTTGATGGGCTCCCCATCGACGTCGTGTAATCGCCATTCGTCGGGTCTGTCAGTGGGTTCGATTATTGAAGCAGTCCGCGAACTCGCCGAGCTGTCGTGGATACGATGCTAGAAGAAGAAGAGGAGGCTACTTACCAGGATAAATCTTCGGGAAGGTGCAACATATTGCGACCAAGGTAGACCAACTGAAGCAGGCGCTGAGCAAGTACTGAGTTCTCACTCCTCCCGTCGTTTCAGCTGTCTTCGGAGATCCGTTGTTGACTTGACTAGTTCTGCGCATGTCTTCCAGTCTCAACCTGTCAATCAAGCTATCGTTCTGCGGGTTGAGCGAACGCAAGTTTCGCATATAGAACAAAGCACTGTTGCAAACGTCAAACATGTCATCATGCGTCGCAAACGCGGAGATGTCTATGCTGCATACGTGACCAAGAAGCACGGCGTTAAACATGGAACGAAGAACAATGAAAAACGTACTGTTACAGACATAGCACAATCCGGTCAGTCTCGCCCCCATCGCGCGCCCGGACGGTCTCTCCTAGCGTTCTCTTCCCAGCGGAGGCGGTCCCGCTCGCGCTCTTTGTTCCGTTCCTCTTCTCCATATTCTCGTTCGTCCACCCTCCGACGCACTGGCGGGGTCCTCGACCGACTACGCACGCGCCCAGCATCTCCACGCCGCCTATGCCGGTCCCACGACTGCTCTCTTCGCCTCGGAGACCGCGAGCGGTCGCGGTCCCTCGGATGGCTCGGAGACGCAGAACGGGAACGGTGCCGCCTCCGCGGCGGTCCCTCGTCGCTCGATGCATCCCCCCGCCCTCGGTGCCTCTCCGCACGTTTCAGCTCCTTCTTCTCCTTCTTGAGCCGCTTCTCCTCCTTCTTCGCCGCCTTGCGTTTGCGACGCTCCTCCTTCTCCGGGTCGAGCTCGTCGAGCCCCGCTGTCGCCCTTGGGGGAACGGCGATCGCGTTTGCGCCTGTGCCCGTACCAGAACCGCCGGCCGCCGCTGCCCCAGCGGGTTTCGCCCCGGGGCCAAAGCCACTAGGCGGGAGTCAGCATATAGAAAGACAAGGAAGACGTTTGGAAGCGGACGTACAGAGCGGCGGCGATGGCCTCTGCTTCGGCCTCCTTGATCTTCCTAATCTCTTCTTGTCGCTCGGCCTCCGTCCGGTCCGCGTCGCGCGAGTACCAGTGGATGTCCTTGTTCTTCTGCCATCGGCCGGTCGGCGCGTTGATACTGTGGCCGAGATAGTTCTAAGCTCATGTCGTATCAGACCCTGCTTTATGTACGGTGAAGGAGAATTCGGAGACGTACCTCACGATCCTTGTCCTGCGAAACGTCCGACCATTTGAATTCGGCCTGGCCACCGCGAGTGCCTCCGCGCACGGGTTCAAACATCAGGGTTGATCGATCCGGTCAAGCCAGCAGTGAGATTGTGAGCGCGACGAGGCGAGAAAGCGACAAGCTTGACGGGAGACAGTGGTGGAGGTTCAAACGTTCGCGGCCAGTCCACGACGCCACCAGCAGCCAGCAACGAGCGCCTATGATACCGCTGATCCCAAAATGGTAACTAGGAAAGATGTATATCACGGCAATAGCCACACCGAGCGCGAACAATGAAGCTGTGATTGTGACTACATGTTCAATCATGCGCACATATGTGGCAGCATGCTCAATGTTCTTATATATGCAAGTCTCACATGGGTGGCAAGTTCGTCCTGATGAGAGGATCGCTCACGGATCTGGAGCACACCAATCAAGTCAAGTTGCCCCCCAAACAAGAGTTGACAAATTTTCATCACGGGCTCCGGCCAAAATAACTCCACGGCATACTCGTGGGTATGCGCAAGTTGTTATCATGAAGCTAAGCTGTATGAAGACGGTTGTATCATGCTGATTCACCCACTCCCATATATATACGCACACCGACGGCAGCGGGCATGTTACACAAGAAAAGTGCAGCAGACTGACCGCGACAGAGGATCCCGACGCTACCTAGTATACGTATTCTGCTCAAGACCGCATAGACGCACCGAGTCCAAGCTTCGTCTTCTTCATAATCGCTGTGAGTGGGGCGTCCAACCCGCCCGACAGGCCGATACGATCTCCGTCGGTCCAGCCCATAGCAGCCAGCATCTTGAACCCCATGTTCGACGCTCCGATCTTCGGTGCCTCCTGCGTTGCCGACTGTCAACTTGTACCCCTTCGCGGAATGGGGGAGGAACACCTAC